AACAGAACAAATCTTAAAAAAAACTTGGTCTGGTATCTGTGTAGAATATTCCATTTTAATTGTTGTCATTTTTTGATCCATTCAAATAAGCACTTCAAATGTCATAATTAGTACAAAAACCTATTACATGTAAGGATCTAATGCAAAGAGTACTGCAACAATAGTATGAATTGGTGAGGAAACTGCAATATAATCATTATAATTTTGAATTGAAAGCTAATAACTTATGGCCCTGTCACACCTTGACGATTTAGCCAGCGTAGGCTGACGTATGAAAAAAATGGCGAATACGCTGAAGCATGCTGGTATACGTCCTAGTACGGCGATTACGTCGAAAAGGCTTGTGCATGCACAAAACTTTTCGACGTATGCCAGTGTATGGCTCATACGTTCTGCATACGCGGGCCATAAGTTGTAGTAAGTTAAGCGATCATTGACACACGTTGACACATGTTACTTGTAAGTTACTCAAAAGTCAAAATGTATTTCTAACCTATGAGTAACGTGCTTCGAACTTATATGTAACTTATAATAAACTTATCTCCAACGTATATTGAGGTTTGTAGATGTATGTGAATTACCATTTATAGGATACTTAAGTGCATTATTCTAAAGCTCTAAAATGAGTTTCTTAACTGTATGGTAAATAACAGTCTGATAGCATTAATATAGTAGTTGCCTGCTGGATATTTTTATTTTTATTTTTGCAGTGTTAATTGTTAAGGAAAAAACCACAGAAATATAATAATGGACTTTACTGTACACAGTATCCTAGAACTTTCTGCATCCCATAGTAATGCAATGTTACATTTTTTTAACCATACCAATGAAGTAGTACTAGAGATGCAGGGGTGAGCCAATAAAAATATAGCCCTATGTATTAATCAAACTGTACAATACTTCATGTGCAATGTCCTGTTTAGATGATATAAAATAGTCAATGGAAACACCAGAAATACTGTACCAGTATAGTGCCCTCTATAGTTAATTAAAAGCTTTTGCGCTTGAGGTCTTGAACAACCAGGATTTATTTTGTTATGCGCCAATATCAGTCTACTGTGTTTAATTTATTAACATTTCTTATATTTGGACACATTTTATGAATAAATTAACCATGTGTTCAAAGCCACAGCATTGTATTTTGTACTGTATCAATAAATTAATCATGAGATCAGCAGTGGTACATGTTATAAATATAATAATCATGCAATCAGAGGGATGTACATATCAATAAAGCTAATTTACAAGAAGCAACCAACCTAAAGCTAACACAATATTAATACTATATTTTGATCTTAATGCTAGGAAAAATATAGCAATTATTACTAATAATAGCAAAGAAAACATAATTCTTTATGAATAATATTTATGTATGCTTACAGTTAAAGATATTACATGGAAAACGTAAAAGATCAATCAAAATATTAAATAGCTCATTTAAAAAAGAACAGTTTTTGGGTCCGCTTGTTGTTACCAGAACAAGTTACCAGCATCACCAGTTCTGACCCCAGGGTTTGACTCCAGGGTGAATCCCCTACACTAGGGGTTTCAGCAAGGACTGTACATTACTGCAATTACCACTAATATGGCAAGTCACATGGATGGCGCGGTCGGTTAAGGATGTGTTCTAAAGAACCGAAAGACATGAGTTTGAATAGTGTCTTGGTATTCAAATTTATATATATTTTTTTTCAATTTTAAGAAGTTTTATTTTTCTCAATATTAAGACATTAGCTCTTCCAAATTTGTTTTCAACCAGCTCTCAAATATCTTAGAATGTTCATTTATACAAAAAAAAATTTATAAATAACATTAAACGCTGAATAAAGGAAACCTCAAAAACGCGGAATGGTAAGCGGTCGCTCTTGTTTATTTCCAATGAAACTCTGACCAAACTGAGTTTTTATTGATTTGCAGAACTTTTAATACGAAAATGTTTTATTTGATTACCAGTCAGTCTAGTGGTATGCAAAAGAATAGGAACGGTATACAGGGTTTAACCAGAAAAAGGAAATAGGCCGTCTAAAATAGAAGACGAGAAACCTGTCGCGTAGTGACAGCCGAGGGGCATGGCCCTGAGAGGGGGTGTGTTTAGATGGGGTGACTCCCCCTATGTAATAAAAAAAAATACAAAATTATGACCTTTAGAGTTCATTTAAAAATGTTTAAATGTTGGAATTTTGTCTTTAAAGAATTGTGTTGAATTAGCTATCACAAAGATGTTTAAGTTATTGTATACATAGACTGCACACGGCTACGGTTGTTTACTCACATTATTATTTTAAGCTATGCAATGCACCTTCATCTCTCGCCCTAGTCTAGTGTGAATTCTACTCTAGGTCCTCCGAATCGAGAGATATATAGGCTTAGGTCTATTGTCTGTTGTTGATTATTAAAATTTAATTTGTAATATTTACAACAAATCTACTTTATGGTATTTTATGAATTAATTATACCAGGGAGTTACGAACAAGAACAATATCTCGGGGAAACCGAAGTTCTGTATTTGCATGAGCCATGTGCATGCGTTGTGGGCAACCGTCCATTTTCCAGCAGGGCATGATGTTTTTAACACAACATATGCGGTGTAAGGGAAATTTTCACTGGATAGACAATGGTTTAAGCCTTAACTTTTTGGGAATCCCCACCGAATGTCAGTATGAAAACAACGTAAATTCAATCAATAAAGGTTGTTTTATCATACGTTAATACGAGTTAGCTTTAGTTTAATGCAACAATCGATAGATTCTAAGAATATAAAGAATTTGTTAAAGGCAGACCAGGGCTGATCTAGACTAGGCCTAGCTAAGTAGGCCAAGCCGTGCAAGCCATCACAGATAAAGTGGCCGTCCTAAATAATTGTTGGCCGTCCAAAATAAATAAGCCCTTGATGGTATATGATATATTGGTAAGGAAAATGTTTTATCATAATAATACTGTATTATTCAAATGAAAGCTGATGATTTTGCCTACTTGACAAACTAAGTAATTCAATTGTATGTAATTCACTGTATATTTAAAAAAAATATTTTATAATAGCTTATATGCCATTTTTTCGGAGTAATAAATCCAGATCACTGGTACAAAAAAAAAAAGGCCCCCGGGAGAAGCAGACGCATACACAAATAAAGCCGTTAGTGAAGGAAAGGGAAAACATGCATATAGAAACATCCTAAACCATTGATTTGTAAAGCACCAAAAACTAGAAAAAAAAAAAAAAAAAAGGATTTCAGTAGAAAGAGCAGAATTAAGTAAACAATGGTTATGAACTTTGAACTACTGTACTGAAGTTATCAATTGGCACATTCCATGCCATTGTTAAGGATGGCCAATAGTATTCAGTGGCTTATTATTTAATTAAAGAGATTTTTATGTCATTGTCATAATTAGATGAAATTGTGAAAAGATTGAATAAAAAAAAAATACCAATAAATTACCAAGTGTGTTTCATCAATAATTATGATGTTACTTTCAGAGTTACTGTCAATTTTAACTTATTCAAAGCTCAGAAATCCATCAACTAACCCCATCTAGAGAGTACCAATTTATCATTTGAATTGTGGCTTTACATTTGGTATATGTTATCTTTTCTTTACTAAAATAATTCTATCAGGTTTTTAAAATTTTGCATTATTTTAGTACCAGTAGTAGTTTAAAGGATTAACTTTTGTTGGTGTAGTGGTACTGTCTTTTTTGTATTTTGTTTAAAATTGCAATTAAAAAAAATAAAATAAACTTTTTTTTTTTTTAACTTTGTAGGACCAATCAACTAGATTTTGTGTGGTGCATTTTGGTAGACACTATTATCAGGTGATTTTGTATCCTGAGTAATCAGGCCCAAAATAACAAAACCAGAAACTCTAATGAGCTTTGCAGCAATTGTTAATTGGTTGCCAGGCTGTCCCTTGCTTTGCAGTTTCAGATCTTTACAGCCAATACACACTGTAAGCATACAGAAAATAGCCTGTTCTTTTTCTCTATGCTGTAAGGTACTAAACATTGCATGACCAAAGCGTTAATATTTATAAGCATGAACATGAGCAACAAAAAAAAGGAAGCGCTTTGTTATTTGACGGTTAAGTTTTTCTGTCACAGTGTACAGTATGTCAGCTAGTTTATTAAGGTTGATTAGGCTGCCATCGACTAAAGCTGTAATCAATTGATGAACAGAGTGCCTATGACTCTTATCTTCTACCTCTCCACATTACTATGTGTTTTAAATTTGTTTGTTGGTGATACTGTATTCCATGCAAAATTTTATAGTTGACTTATGCTAATCTTTTGTCTAAAGTTCATTTAACACATTTGCAAGTATGCAACCAACATGATTTCAATATTGTCATCTTAAAATACTACCTACAGTATGTTTTTGTTCATAGGTAGTACTGTAAAACAAACACTTTATTTCCAAAACATAAAATTGTTTCTGTTACAATCCTTATAAGTACAATACTTTGATATATGTTTGCACTAGCCAGTTTATGGCATTAATCATGCATTATTATTCAAACATTTTCACATTTTACTGCAAAGGTACATAAATATCTTAACTTGCAGGGTAAGGTACTGGAAGAGTTGCACTACTGTCAGTTTTGTTACCATGACAACACCGATTTCCCACGAATGCATACATTATGGCAATTAATTTAATTTATATATTGAAATGTGTAAAAGAATTCGTTGCAGAAAAAAAAATCAGATCTAAACAATTTTTGGTCATAAAAAGATGATCTAAAGTCGCAGAGAACGCATTTCCTTAAATTTCTTGAATATTAAGTTTCAGGAACCTCCCTAGAGAAAATAGGTTTCCTACAATTTTCACCTGCAAATCTCTCTAACACAGAATACAGATTTTTCACAAAAAGTTAAGTGGGGCCTTGTATCCCCATCACTGAAAGATCTACACACTTATTGATTTATTACAATTATATTTTTAGGTAAATTCCAATACTAGAATATGTGGTACATTCAGGTACTGTAATTATTCAGGGAATACTTACCAGCCCTGCTTTATTGTTCATGCTTGACTTTCAAACTTTGTTGTCCACCAAGGTAAGTTGTTCATGTAATTAGAGGTGGTCAAGCATTAAAAAAACTCACTCTATTAGCCTACATTTCTTTAGTCTATAATAAATAAGAGAATAGTGTTACTTATCAACATGAATATCTTTGAGCAATATAATAAATTTTATGTGAATATACTTTTTAAAGACAACAGTGGGATGCCTATGCCTAGGCTCAAATAAAGTCTCATTTCTTCACTGGAATATAGTTTTGGATAAACCATTGAATCGTAGGGCAGTTATTTAAATGCATCAGCCACTTCAAAAAACTATTGTCATTTTCGTTCTGTTCATGCACACAGGAATCCCCGCGTATAATCCCACCCAACAAAATTGGGCCAATTTTGCATTCATAGAGAGCGGGATTATCTAGGGAACTACGGTACTATTCTAGGATAGTCCTAGACCCTGCCAAGACCGAAGTAGGAAGAGAATGGCCTGCAAATTAAAACAGTCCCTCCGTCATCAATTAAAGAAACAACAATACTCTATTGTTCCTATAAAAAAAAAAAAAACCTCCTGCCCTCATCAATTTTTTTTTTTAAAGAAGTGATAATCTAATAATTTTTTCTATGTACCCTTAAAAACTTTAACCCCACTAGTTTAATGCACTAGCTAGAGGGTAGGGCAAGGGCATGTCGGAAATATAACATTTCCTAAAACAACCTAGGGCCTAGGCCTAGTATTAAATTTTTCAGTTTTTTAAGATTCAACAAATACAATCTTTACATTTTCACAATTTCCTGATGCAAAAACATCATCGAAATAAATAAAAGCTTTTTATTCTAGTCAAAACAGCAATAAACCAAAACTGCAATAAGTCAAAATGGCAATGACCAAAACAGCAATAAGCCAAAATAGACCGGTCGGATTTGGAGGAAGGTGTCACATTTTTGCAGAATTTACCAGACCAACTTTTTCTAATGTATTTTTTGACGTAGATTACGAATCTGATTGTTGATCGGTCCGGGGAGGGGGATTTTTCGAGATATGTGGGGTCAAAGGTCAAATCTGGCATATTTAAGGAAGGGGATTGCAAAAGTGAATTAGTGTACCAAAATAATGTTTTCTAATGTAATTTAGGTCATAGATTGTCTCTTATACACATCTAGATGTGTATAAGAGACAGGTATTGATGTGCCTGCCACCAGGAACC